AGGAAGATCTACTAGATATTAATTACATTATAAATATATCAATTCATGTGAATATAACTGAAAATTTTCATTTTGTCTGAAAAGGAGGTGTCTATTTACTTGTGACCACTCTGTGGACTATAGAGTGATGAAAGAAAATTGTTGAAGTAAGACTAGTATTACTATTTGGGTTATTGTTAAGTTTAAATTACACCTTAATGAAATAACTTAACAAGATACGATATCGATGGATAAAAGAATAATGAAATGACGTAAAGTCATACTATGAAATTTCTAGTATCATTTCATTGCCACAGTAGGGAGTTAATGTCACTGTTGTACAAATACTAAATAAATTTGCTATTGAAATGCTAGCTTGAATATATAAGCAAGTCAGTCACCACTACAGTGGGTGAACGTAACTATGGCAAAAGTTACTAAGTACCATATCTTTTTTAAAACATTAACAATTAACAATTATTAAGAGTGTTAAAGTCACATATTCAGGTTGTCGAAAAATAATGTAGAAGTATTAACTTGGCTTTCTCATTTTGTGAAAGCAAATAAATAAACTAAAATTTCTACTGAAAAAATATAGTATTTCAGTCATAGTGTTAAAACTTCAATTACTCATTCACGGTGTGAAAGTTGAAAATTATAAAAATGGAAAAAATACTTGTTGGTAGAATTGTAAGCGCTTGTTGCTGTCCTATTAATTCGAAATATGATTTTAACCTGAATGGAACCGTATATACATATGAGCTAAATGGTTACCTTAATGAATCAGATATTGCCGCACATGATTTTGAACTAGTGAGAAGAGGAATGCGCTCTCATCTAGAAGATACCATGCTTTATCCAGCTCTTTGAATCGAATAACGGAATTAACTGTCCCATGAAATGCAATTATCTTTTATATTTTAGTTTACAAGTATAGTATTTGTAGTATACTTTTCTAACCACGAGAAAGCTCTATTAATATGGATATTTGAAATGTCAGTTGTATTAATGTATGTAAATAACTCTTACATATTGAACATTTTAGCAAGAAAAGTTAGACTCTGTCTATTCTAAAATTAGCCATATGTCATTGAACGGGACTGGCTTCCTGGATTTTTACGCGTCATCTGTGATCCTGTAAAAAAATATACAAAATACCGAGATCAGGCATCATATAGTGGTGAATTGTTGTTTAAACGTCACATTCATATTTTGAATAAATGATCAGTTGCAGAGTTATCTTGCTTCAATTGTGGTCTTATTTGCAATATTTGTGTATTTGGTGTGTAATGTCTGTTGATATGAAAAACCTGATATAATACTAAGTTCCCGAGGAAGATCACGACACTATTACTCCTCTGATATAATAAAGAAAATAATAACTGAGCCAAGACAACTCTTCAGTTCTTCTATTATTCAAAATGCGAATTACTTTTTACATGCTCAAAACAAATAGCCTATATTCGAAACACTTAGTTTTGTAATCTGGTTCACTTTTACATCATTATATAAAATCAGAGAAATTAGTTTTCTATTTCTTTTTAATGATAGTTCGATTTTCATTTTAAAATTCCCTGTCCGTGTGTGTTTTAAGGCTCATATAAAATAATACTTTTACACAGTAAATCGCCAATGTACTTGTACTTTCAGCAGATTTACTTTGATACAGATGTATTGACAAATTAGATTTTGCATTTTCACAGCCTGTTATTTACCGTATTCTTCTGAAGAACCCTAATACCAGCATCATCTTCATTACTATTGACCACAAAAGCTTCAATCTTTCTGGAGATGACCAACTAGATATTGGACGTGGGGTCGACCCAACTAAAGAAGACACTTTGATAACCTCATACAAAAATACCAACTCTCTAAGCAGCAGCGAAAGGTTGTCTGTTTCGAAAGGAGAGGCATGGTTCAATATCAGAATATCTGAAGCTCAAAATCCGTCCATTTGTTATGAGGGAGATGAAAGAAGTAAGTCTGTATATAAATTGATACCAATGATGTTAGTGTAATTGATGACGTATATGGATATGTGTAAGTATGTAAAATATTAAAATTGTATTTGAAAATACAAGTGAAATGGTCAAATATTGCTTATTTCATGGTGATATGTGAACTAGTTAGATACTAAAAGAACGAAGGCGTTAATTTGCTGATTTAAAATCTATTATAGCTCTTGAAATATCGTAACGGCTTTGAAGCATCATTTACTGTTGTTAAAATAACATTTATAACTGGATAAATACTACTAGTAACTGTTAAAGTATCACTTATAGCTTGGTTTCCCACACTTAAAGACATATAAAGCTCATATGGATGTATTTGTTATAATCGATATAGCTAGACTGATGAGAGTTTATGTAGTTTGAAACTACAGTATTTAATTGATCATGGTATGAGGTTTGTTATCCATTAGGAAAACGTATGTTTCATTACTTATAGGTGTTGAAATATTAAAGTTATAACAGTTGAAAAATTATGATTATAGCTGTTTGAATATTCATAATTGGGAAATATCACTTCTAACTGGTAAATATATCACTTATAAATATTGACATTTTACGGATACCTGTTAAAATATCACAAATAACTCTTGATATACCATTAATAACTCTTTCAATGTAGCTGTCGAAATATCATCTACAAGTGATGAAACCACTAATAACTAAAATATATGCTTTCAATTTTTTTTATTATTCATTGTTTGTTATACATATTCAAATATTTAAATCACACTTTTATTATTTTCTAAACGTATCTTTAGATTTTTATTTTGGGGTTGTACAGGTTTTTACATATTTAGCCTATATTGTAGTTGTTTGCTATAAGCATTCAAATATTTATATCACATCAATATTAACTTCCACATGTATTCATAGGCACGAATTTTTTAAAACCATAAATATTTCATCACGTTTCGAACTTTGATATTTCTAGGCTAAGTTATCCTTTAATATTAATTAAAATATTTTGCCTCAAGTTGAATAAAATTAGCTTAAGTGATAGTTTGCACAGATGTTAAGAAGTACAATTTGTTACAACTGCTGCTCATTCCTTTTTTATGAAACAATCACCCAGCTATAATTGAAGAGACGAATGTGGAAGATTCCGGAAACATCCAGGTATATTCATCGGAGAGTTATCCACCAAATACCATTCGAACGTGGATTCTACGAAATAATCAGTCGCTTATAAACAGTGGGATTGAAATAACTGTGAGTGCACTTCATCTAGACGAGAAAGTTGGTGATACGATTATAATTGGGCCAGGTTAGTATTTCAAATAAATTCGTAAAAATTGCCTTGATGGGCCAACTGTGAATTCACTTTAATGAAACAACTCAGGTTTATAAGTGGCAAATAAAAATATTTGTTCTTGGAATTTTGCATTATACAATTGATTTTTACAAAAGCTAACAGAGTAAGAATTTTCTTTATGAACTTTATTTTCATCACTATTGTTTGTAACAATATCAATAATCATGACAATAACATAGAAAGAAGATAACTATAAAATGCACACGAACTACTATATTATCTTAATTGTTTTCTAAATAAGTTAATTTTCTTTTTCTAGTAGGAAATTTATAATCCATAATTCTTAGCACATCAGGAATTGTTTTTATCAATTTTATTTAGTCTCTGTGATCCTTGTTATTTTTGTAGCTCTGGTAATTTGAGTTGTTAAAAAGTTAATTTACCGAGAATTGCTTATGAGCTATATATAAATTCTCAACCAAGTTTTCTTTTTAATTAGCATAAAATACCCACGCTCTAAGGTTCCCACATGATTCACAGAGGTCTCAATGTACCAATCAAGCATCTCTTTTATTTTATGTACTTCTATAGCTACTGCAACGCGCCAATTTTTAATTGATTTGTCTGTTGTCATTTTCCGAATTTAATTCAATTTAACTCTTTTAAATATAAATAGTTTTAATTTAGCTTCTCAGATTCGTTTTTGTTTTCTCTTCCTGTGTCTTAATTTGAATTCTTTCCATTCTCCGAATTTTCCAACAATTTCTAATTAATATTTTTTCTTCCCATTGTTTGTTGCCGCTTCCCAAATTTATTTCAATTCAACTTTTTTTTTTAATTTTCATATTTGTATTTTTCTTTCCATGTTTGTGTTGAAAAAAGAGTATTTGGCAGAAAATATCCACATATTGTTCATTCAGTAAGTGAGAATTAAAAAATATGATTCCTTTCTATAGACCATCAGGAAGCAGAATTATGGGGCTTAAGGGTAAAAAAATTGGCCAACATTTTTTTAATGAAAACTAAAAAATACTATTCAGGTGTACATCCTCAGAATCCATTATTATGCATGCAAAGCTTCAGATCTCTGTGTTCTTTCCTCTTGGATCTATGGCAGTCACACACACAGAGGCTCTTTTATTATCATAGACTAGTATATGGTATCCAGGTACATTATTATCCAACAAGTAACCATTTTACAGATTCAGGAAATGTTATGTACAGAATAATGTAACGAATTTGTTGTCATGTATTTATTTTTCATATGAACGTTGTTTAGACCAAGTTTGTATTTAAAAATATGCGTAACTTATAGTGTTGGATATGTAGTGCATATAACGAATTTGTTATATATTTATTTTAATGACAACGTTTGTTTGGATTGAGTTTATATTTAAAAACGTGCCTAGCTTACAGTGTTAGTTACATACTGCGAAACTCCTGCCAATTCTCCAAGGTTGTAGAATATTGTTGAACGTAAGAATCGACAATATATTTACTTTCGTAACTGGTTAAATATAGGTCAATATTGTTATCGGAATTCTCGAGAAAATCTTTCCAGCACCTATAAAAACAGTCAACGAGCCAAAAGAAAGGGCTTAAAAAGTTGGCTTGGAACCTGCTATAATCGTGTACACTATAAATCGTGATTTTGCTAACCCTTATCAACCGGAAAATTTACGACATTTGACTTGGAACAGTTATAAATTTCGAACGTCAGTGGATTCTCGTCGGACGTTAGTATCTTTCCGAGAGTATTACTGAATTCTCGTCGGACATTAGTAGTTTTATGAAAATATTATCTTACTTCGACAGTCCAACAATTCGGTGTCTAACAAAACTAGCTAGCTTCTCGGAAATTGTACGTATATCGACTTAAAGTTAACTCACTGGATATCAAGGAGACTCTGAACTAGAAAGAAGATTCTAGGTTGTTTTTAAGTTAATGAAATTGTTGTTTATAAACTTTTTTGTGGTAATTATTCGTAATAATTGTTATTGTAAATTGTACTGTTGTATATATATTAAAACGTATTTGTGTGTCAATCTTCTTGGCAAATAGTGTAAATTAACTAAAATATCGGCTTTGGACTATTTTAAGTTCTCAATACGTAACAATAAATAGAACACAAACAGTATAGGAGAAGAAAAAACATAAAAACAAAAGCAAACATCAGAAACACAATTTTAATTCACATTGAATAACTTTACGAGCATGCTTTAAGTTCGCAGATTGACTATTCTAGTTGCTATATCTGCACAAGACAGGAACATGAACAGATCAAGATAAGTGATATTCATAGTCACGAACATTCTGCTTTAGGGCCGTGCAAATCTTTAAGTTTGACACTTTACTTACATATCTACATAATTAATCTAAACCATCTCAAACAATTCTGAATACGTTTTTGTATTACCTACTTTTACACATTATCTTTGCGTGGCACTGGCTTGAAATTCAAATGTAAAAGGCTTAGTACATGTTCATGACCTACAAAATTTGATGGACATGCAAATTTAGAAATTTTATCTGGAGATACTGAGAAATATGTATGTAATACTATATGGAATTGTGCAATTAGTAAGTATTTCAGCTACGATATATGAACTTGGTATGACAGGAATTTGTTTTTGTATGTCAGATTCTAAAATAGCAGTATATGTCTTTAATTAATGCGAAAATCACATTGCTCTCATTTGCAGGTCTTGATGAAGAAATATTGTGCAGTTCGCCAGCTTACTTGTTGTCTGGGTACGTAGGAGAAACCAAAGTATTTGTTGCCAGGAAAGATGTTTACATAATATTTCTCTCGCACCACTCAGTAAGAGCATTGCCAGGATTCTCTTTCAGCTGGAAACGAACTAGTGAGTAAAGAGGTACATTTTTACTGTTAGCAAAAATTCAGGAAACATATACTTCAAAATTAAAAGTTCCTAGTCGTCCAACAACGAATCATGTATCTAGCTCAATATACCAAACTGGCAATAATACTTTATCAACAGTGACGTATTGATAAATACAGATTATGATTTATATATTCATCGCCAGAGTTCTTATGTATTTATAATATATTAAAGTTTTGAACTACTAAAAAACAGCAAAAATATTCAACAGAATTATTCATTTAGTATTACATTTCTTTTCTAGCTGTTTATGTCATATATCTTTTTTATTATTAAACTAAAAGTGATTTAGTAAAATATCAACAGGCGTAGTGTGTCAAAAAATATATGTAACAAACAGAGAGAAAAACACAAATTGTGGAAGTGTTACATTTACATTACCAAACCACTCGGACATAGAAATTGCACATATTCGATATAACAGTTCTGTTATTATAAAATTTTCAAAATATCAAGCATTGTGTTATTTAGTGCTATAAAACACAGCAGGCATCGTGAATCCATACTGTTGCAAGTACAACCTATTAGTGGTTATTGTGGCTGTTCAGCAGCAATAGGATGCTGCCACCTGAGGGTTACATAACAATTACATAATGTATAGCCTGAGGGTTACATAACTTTTATGTATTAAATACCAGAGAGTGTGTTGCAACAGCCACAAAGCAGCACCTGAGTACGTGTTGGTATGATGATTGTGCAGTTAGTTTGCAAGTGAACTACAAGAAGGGTGATGTATATCCACGTGTCATCATCTATATAGTAGCAGTCAGAGTCTTAAAATTATTATTTTATTTTATTTATATAATATTATTTTCATAATTATCACAACCGCAATTCCACTTTATAATTAAAACATTAAATACGTTTTACAAAGGAGAACAGTGTTTCTATATGCAGATAGTGTTACAAAGGATAGTTTTTGCACAGAATAGGATGGTGTTAGTAGGTGGATACATTGATAGGATGATAAGCATCATATGGTGTCTCAACATATTATCAATGTCTATATTTTATAAGTAAACCTATTATTCTTTATGTATTGTGTATATAACAATACATGAGTTCTTGACAAAAGAATTCATATGATAGCACTACTGTAGGTGAATGATACTACTAAGGCCAATGTTACCATAGTTTATAGGATGTTCGATTAATCAATAGTATTTTACTTTATTTGCATAGTCTACATTTACAAATATCTGTCCTAAAAAGGCTGGATTTTTCACGATATCATCTCTAAATATCATGCAATAATTTAACATACAAACTTACTCTACTCGTATAACTATGAATTTTATTGTGTATAACAGTAATGGATTTCAGGAAAAAATATTTAATTTTACGCATTTTGACAGTTACTTTATAGTTTCCACTTTACAAAGGCTAACAGTGCTTTTTATTATTACAAGGTCTTACTAAGGATAGTGTTAGTTTAGGCAGATGGTGTAACAAAGTGCAATGTATTTATGTTTCCTTTAATACATCTGCTGTTTCGTTTTTACAAGTAAAACCATTATTTCAATGAGACAACAATTATAACAATGTTATATATGTTAGTCTTTATCATACATATTTTCTAAATTTATCCATCATTTGAATAGACAATAATTTACCTTACATACTTTTACAATTATCTATCACTTTATGTAAAAAACTATTCACTTATTCATTACTGTTATTTTTTGCTTCTATATTTAACTTGCATGACATAGTTTATGCATTTTCTGATGTTTTATATGTAAAACACTTATAACTAATTCATTTGTATAATTGATATAGTATACAACATCTATTTATCCTGAAAAGGATGATTATTTAAATCTCATGTTTATCTTTATAAGTTAATGTATCTATTTTTTACACAAAAATAATCTATGAAATAACCATGTTTAACATTTATTATTCTTACTTTTCTGTAGAACATTTTTGACAAATATTGTTTCTTGATGGATTACAATTTTAGGCATAATGTGAAATGATGTCTATTAAATCTTATCAGAATAGTATAGATACAAACAAACTTTCTTCTGCAATAGACGTTGAGAGATAATGTTTGTCTAAGGTCACGTGCTCGCCTATCTGACTGAACACAGTTGACATGTTATAGTTTGACAGTCTAAAGGTTTATCACAAAACTGATCATTGTTTTGTAGCCAAACAACCAGTTCTCTAAACTAGTACAATATGGGATAAATTACATTAAAAGTAAGTATCTGGAATTAGAATCTTTTATAACACACACACACACATGTATATGTATTTCTAGTTTGTAATGATATATATATGAGACTAGAGTCATGTCACTTCCAAATGTATATATGAAATATTTGTTGAGAAATCAGAATAATTTTTGCATTATAATAAATATATTAGTTCACCAACAAACAATTTCACACACATAGGCTTAACTTATATACAATAGTGTGCATTTCTTTAATTTCAACTGCACTTTACAAAAATAAATTATATACACTAGTCAGTTATAACAAATCGTATATCATCTGAACTTTGTCCTTTAATACTTACATATTTGCTTACACATAGCACTCCTTCAAATGCATTCTTTTTCTTATAATTAAGGTAGTTTGCTTACTTTAGATTTTGACTTTTCAAAGTTTAATTTTCTTACATTTTAAATATTAATAGGCTTCTGATTCCATGTTACAATAAATAATTTTTCATTAATGATAATATTTTGATGTGTCAGACTCATAAAATGCAATTTTTCATGTTATCTTTCACTTATACTTTATAGAAAGAGCATTAAATGTAATTAATTATCTCTTAGAAATCAGTGTTCTGTGAATTTGTTATATAAAACTCATGTTTCATCATAGCCCAATATACTATCAGAGTTAAACGTTTGTTAACAAAACAACAAGATACATTAATATACTACTTATGGAAACTACAAAATACTGACCTATGCATGTATAGCTCAGTCTTTTATGATAAATTCCACACCATGAATATCATTTTCTAACAAGTATGATTGAACATCTAATACAAGTATCCATTTATATTTCTTATATAAAGCTCATGTTTCATCCTAGTCCAACTTGCTATCATTAATATATCTAAGTAAATTCACGTCAGAAAGTGCAAACTATGTCATGCAAGTTAAATATAGAAGTGAAAACTGTAGAACTAATGAATTATTGAAGTGTTTTATACATAATGCAACAGACAATTGTAAAAGTATGTAAGGTAAATTATTGTTTATAATATTTGTCTTATTAAAAAAATGGAAAATTAAGATAATATATATGATAAAACTGACGTATATAACATTGTTATAATCGTTGTCTCGTTGAAATAATGATTTTACTTGTAAAAGTGAAACAGCAGATCTCATAAAATAGTAATGAACTATGGAAACACTGTTCCTAATTTAACTGTTTTACTTAAGTAACACAATCATTAGTATGACCTTATAATAATATCATCCAACCATAGAAGCACTGTCAACCTTTATAAAACATATGTAATTAGTAAGTTAAATCTATAAAGTAACTGCCAAAATGTGTAAAATGAAATATTTTTCAAAAAATTTTGTGAAATGTGTTTAATGTTTAACCTATAAAGCAAAACCGTAATTATGATAATTGTAAAACCAATGTTAGGTAAATAAAGTAATAATTTTAAGACTTTGATTGCTACAATAATGTTGATGACACATTAATCTACATCACCGACATATTGATCTACATCACCCTCTTTTGGTGTGTTCATGAACTATCAGTACAATTTTCATACCAATACATCCTCTGGTGCCACTTTGTAGCCCTAGCAACATGCTCTCTAGCGTCTATTACATAACAGTTATGTTACCCTCAGGTGTATACATTACGTAATAACTATGTAATCATCAATTACCACAAGGTGGCAGCAGCCTTTAGCCACTGAACAGCCCTTATAACTACTCCTATCTTGTCTTATACCTTACCTGTATCTTCCAGTAAACCTTCATCTTCAATGTAATAGTCAAAATCCTACACCAAACCTTTAAAAATTAACACTGCTAATTAAGTCATCAATATTGCATCAGATACTTGAAACACATATTTATAAGTGAGCAGTAACAAAAAAATTGACAAGTTGTTATCTAGTGATATTTCAAAACGCAGACTTTGATATGAAAATGCATTATCAGTAAAGTGAAAAGGGTAATTCAAGAGTGCTCCTCAATATATATATATATATATATATGTATTTATTTATTTATTTTAACAAATATGAGCTTTATGATGAGCCTATAAAGAACCAAACTCAGCTCATTCTGACAGTAGCTATACCAAGGCTTTGATCACACAACAAGGATTTACTAATAGATCGGAAATTAATTTTGTTGCTTTCCAGGTGACAACATTACAGTAACACCAAACGAAGATGTTTCAACTCCTTTGCCTGATTCTTGGTATCAAGCCATCCCAATTTGCCTTTACCAGTTAAATGTTTCTCATGTAAGTAGAACCAAGTAATTACGATTGTGTATGGGTTAAATTTCTCATAATATACGTAAATCAAAGCCGCCTTCAGTGTACCAGTTAAATATATCCATTGTTAGAGGTATTAACCCTTTGCAATTTACCTACAGTAGTTATCTTGTACGTTTTGTACTTCATCAAAATTAAGTCATTTGAGTTTGTTTGAAGCAGTTAAATGCCTTTCATGGGAAAATGTTAAGACCTTTATTTATTTTTATTTTCTTTTGTTATATATATTTCAGTTTGAAGATCCTGTGAAATCTACCAACTAAGAATATTATAGCTTGTTGTATATAGCTATAATGTGTTATAGATAAACTTTAAGAGCTGTTCTATTACAAAAGATGATAAAATCAAATGTTTTCTGAAACATTGTTTTCCGGAGCATTAGAACTACGATTAAAAATATTTTTTGGAAACCTTTGCAACTACATAAATAAATTAGTCAATCTTTTGCATAAAAAGTGTCTGAATGATTATTTCAGGCTACGTAAAAGGAGGGGAGAAGAGAGAGACCAAGAGGTCACGTGACATTATAGTTCCCAATTGTGTAACCAGAAAGCATATTACTATGGATGGGAAATGGTGGCAAACAGTTGGTGAAATAATAGTTTCAAGTTGTGTCTCTAGTAGGTGCGCTAATAGAGAGGGATAATTCCAAAGTGTAAGATGATGAGGTGATTGAGTGTGCATATGATTCACAAACGAACTACAAGAGGATGTTGTAGATCAATAGGTTTCAGCATGACTCAACGTGTGATTACATCATCAGTTTTATAGATTTTACTTCACTTTAATGATAATAACTAAAATTAATGTTTCATCTAGTTTCCATAACTTACTTTATACAATTTTAATAATTTATCTTACATTTTTGAAAAGGACTGCTTTTTTATTTTAACCTAAAGTTTTAAGTCTAAATATTTATTTCATTTAAAAATTTAACTTACAGTCTTACTGTTTTGTGTATAGTTATAAGTAAAACATTCAAATTCTAGATATATATCAAAGGCATCAAATTACAAAAATAAAAACAATTATTTCAATCTCTTTAAATCTTTTAACATTAGTTTTATTATTATGGTCAACTTTACAGTTTTCATTTCAATAATAATCAAAGCCTTAGAATTAACATTACATATAATTTGTATAAATTACTTTTTACAGCTATGATAGTCCTAAAAAGGGACTCTTTCATATTGTTTTATAAGTGAAACATTTCAATTCTACATACATAATGCATGTTTTGCTAATAATAACGTTAGATTTTACATATTACTTATGTTTATATACACAGTTTATGTTTGTTTGTTATGGATTTCGCGCAAAGCTACACGAGGGCTATCTGCGCTAGCCGTCCCTAATTTAGCGGTGTAAGACTAGAGGGAAGGCAGCTAGTCATCACCACCCACCGCCAACTCTTGGGCTACTCTTTTACCAACGAATAGTGCACAGTTTATGTATATAGCTCTGTTTCAATCATATGTCTAATTTTACCTACAATATGTTACTTTTACAAATATAATTGTGCTTTTGTAAAAACGTAAGACTTACGGTAGAACAAAATTCCTTTCAATTAATTTTTACAGCTTTTCTAATATGTTAAATTAAATATTAATACTTACCATCCTTTAGTCACTGTATAACATTCACTTTGACGTACAAAGCTAGATCACTGAAGTAATTGGCGCAGCCTATTTGATATAAAACTGTAATTGAATGCACAACATGTATAGAAAAAATATTTATAAAAGTAAGAAAACATCCATTTCCCATTCAGACTAATACTATTTAAATGTCAGTTCAACTTAATTGTTGATTGCTTACTCAAACGTCAAAGTTCGAAGTCCATGGGGTTGTTCAAAGAAACATTGGCACGACGGACAAGGGTTAAGCTACGACAACATAGAAAAATGCAAAGTCTAACTTGAACAATAGCCCTTCTGCACGAGTCATTATAATATAGTGTTACGTCTGTGCTCGTTTGATAATTTCCGGTAGAAATTCTTCCCGAGACATTTCAGCGATACAAGTCCTTTCTTAAATAAAACTAGTTTATTCTTTCTCAATACAACTTTGCAATACACTTTATTTCCACAGTCACTTAAACACACGCTATAATTCTCAACAAATTATTCATGCACTTTACTTACTGCGTGCTTGACTCAATTGTCCGTCTATATCTTCAGTCTCTCTGTCCGCTATTCAATTCCGATTGATTGTCTCGCTTTATCTGGTGCACTTATATACAATAATAGAGGGCGCCTAGCAAATACTGGATTATTCGTGATGTTCCACGATGTTCTAGAATCTCATGACGTGTAACTAGTACTAGTTTACAGAACATCTGTTTCCTGGTATTTATTATTATTATTCTGTAATTGTTTGTGATTAATATCAGATGCTTTGAATTTTAAATTTTGATGTTTTTGTTTTATAATTCGACTATTTTTAACTACTGAATTAGTGCATAGTTATTGTATATTACATTTAATGTATATAGTGTTCATCATTATAATATATGCTTTTCCAACAAAAATACGTTATTTTCACTAGACATTAAGAATTATGTTTAGCCTAAAAAGCTGGTAAACGGATTTTGTATTGTTTATTCAAAGAGTAATACAGATAAACTTATCAAGGCCTACTGGGGACACTTTCTGTGATACTGTTGAGAAAGTAGACTTATCCAAGGTTTGTTAGAGGTTCTATGTTGGAATATCAAACAAAATCTGTAGAGAGGTGATGTTATTATCAAAAAAGTACTTGACAAAATATTTTAATTTTTTGTTTGTTTTTTATTTCTCATAATAAAGTTCTTGCCAATTAGTCTACAAGAAAAGACATATATATTAAAGGTACTTTCACATTAAGGCATTTTGAAACAAAATTATCATAAAAACAACACATAATTACTATCTTTATTGGATCAAAACTTCAATGATCAATTTCTAAAATGCACCGAAATTTTACATAAACGAGAATATTTATAGTGTTGGGTAAGACACTAACAAAACTTATCTCAGTTCCTAAATTTCCCTATTTCGTATGTGAATCTCCAGCAGATAGATCAAGTAATAGGTCAAAGGCAAAGATATATATCCTACCAATTCCTTGTTATTAAAACTGCGTTCCTGTTCCATTGAATAAGGTTTCATAGTTTCAAACGTACAAAATTGCGTCAAAATTGGGTTGCAGAGCTGAACAGGAATCTTATTTTAATGAACGTTGATTGCCACAAAATTGATATATTGTAATGTTTGCAATTGCTTGAATATTTCTTCCAAATCCATTAAATGTATCATTATGAACCCATCCTATAACAATACATGTGGATGCAACACCCGAAAATGTATTATTGATAGATGCTTGTTAAGTTTTCTTGTGAAATTGAAAATAAATTGCACATTATATATTTCAAATGATATTTAGCTCTTACTTGCTGAAATGTTTTAGTAGGAGCCATAATGAATGTAAAAATTGATCAGTACCTTTATACATAAATAGAAAAGTGTTGTGGAACGCCTTTGAATCCCAATTAGTCATTTGACATATTGCAAAATGCATCTTTACTTTGTATGAGATGTAGTTTTAAGTTTACTCCATTGTACAAAAAGTTATTCTGCAACAAAATGTCTGAATGTAAATAGTTGATCATGCCAACTGTCTGACTCCACATTTCTCAATGCAAAGACCTTTGATTCCATATTTCTTGCCATCATTAAAGTCGAGATCATCAAAACTATTCACCATGTCCTTTACCCACATAGATAATATTAAATGACTCCCCTTAACTTCTACACTATAACTCAGTAAAGTTTCTTTGTAGGCCTTATATGAGTAAAGATTGTCAGATGAAGAGCTAAGATTGTCTTTTAGGGATACATCCATTTGAGAAAACAGAGAATGAAGAAACGGACTGACAAGAGCAGAGATATCTTCCTCCTTTTTATGCTGGTTCCATTTGGCTTCCCAGTCTGTGCTTTTACATGAAGATATAGTTGAACTGATTTAAAGTATTCATCCCTTGAGCATGATATAGAAAAGTCAGCTACTGAAGCTAAAGGATAATATTCGATCCATTAATGCTCTTCAATTACGATCTGTGAAGGAGGGAGAGAAACAAGGTCTATCTCAGACTTTGTGTACTGTCAGTACTTTTCATTCAGAAGGAGGGTTATGATTACTTGTCGAAAATGTCTGCCTCTTGGTTTTAGCGGTTATGAACATGGAACCTTTTTTAATAGGTTGAACAGTCAGAAACTGCTTGACATTTTGAGCTAAGCTCTGAGCTCCTTGCATTGCAAGTTGTTTTCCAGTTTCGATAAAAGATTTTCCATGAGTGACATATGATGTTAAATTTATGTCAGGCTGAACAGCTTGTTCTCCTATTGTTAAAGTTCCTTGTTTCAGAAATGGGATAGCTGAATTAAACAAATTATTCGATATGTCCCCAATCCATGTCCCACTTAACTTCCAGCATAATAAGTAAGTTCCCACTTGGAACTCGTAATATGCATCATAAATGAATCCTTCAAAATCATAAGGTGTTCTCATGATGTCACAAACGACATAAATGAAATATTATGATGATATTTCCAACATGTGTCGTCCTTTATATTGGCCTCAACAGTCTGAAAACTTTGCTTAGAAATGGGTCTATGATGATGCTTTGTAAATGCTTCAGTGTCGATCTTGACCTTTAGCTTGAATGAGTTGTAGTAACAGTGCATTTACATCACTAACAATCTAGGTTCCATAATGTAGGTATATAGTGAATAAAATTCACCATGCATGTTGACAGAAATGAAGTTACATTGGACTCTGTTATAATACGATTATTATCAAATGCAAGTAGCACTGATAATGCAGGATCGAGTTTTATGGAGGCTCTATCATTCACATTCACTCTTAATTTTTGGGTAAGCAGAATAACTAAATTTAAGATTTTTGTAGAGTTTATGAAGAGTTTATATTACTTGGTGTAAGATTCTATTTAATCTTCAGGTTTATTGTAATGACTTTACCTAATACAATACAGACTGAATGCCTACAAAACCAGGTACTTTATGCCTACCATTGTAGGGTTTATTTAGAGTTTATATTACTTGGTGTAAGATTCTATTTAATCTTTAGGTTTATTGTAATGACTTTACCTAATACAATACAGACTGAATGCCTACAAAACCAGGTACTTTATGCCTACCATGGGAATACATTTATTCGGCCAAGACCACTTCCCATGATTCTTGAAGATCTATAGGTCACGGTAGATTTTTAGCATAATTCTTCAGAATATTGCTGTAAAAATAGTTCATAGAACTATTATTAGGTAACATCACATAGAGTTGATCTATGTGAGCAAAATAAAAGAATTACATCATTCCTAAGTAAGTAAGTAAAATACATTGCTATAATAACAGACATGTAACCAAAACTACAACAACAATAAAAATGAAGTGAGTAACGAACAAAGTACTGTACATATTTGAAAATGTGCAATTTAACCGAAGACTGGATATTGTTCAGTGTTGGCGAAGTTGTTTGATGGGCAGTAATTCCAGATCAATGTTTGCTTTGCAAAGGATATTGAAATTTGATATGTTAAGTTCAGGTCCTGTTTCTTCAGTATGTAGGCGTGTAAAAGAAACACAGTGGTTACCCAACTTTTTTGTGTTTTCATGGAAATTCCGATATGTTAATTAACTCTAGCTAGTAGATGACGTTTGGTTTGCCAACATAGGAGATCTTACAGTCTCCACACGTGTAAATATATCCAACCCATGAACAAAGGGAAATTGGGAGAAGGTATTTGGTACGAAAAAAATCGTGTATGCGGGATGTGGGTTTAAAAACTAATCTGAAATCAACTTGGGGGTAGTAACGATGAATTACTCGTTTAATTTAACTTTTTAAAGTTAAGCTTTGTTTATCAATATATGGAATACAAGAGAAAATAACAAGTTTGGGTACAGTTGGTAGTCTGGGTAGGTTAGTGAGTTTTTTAGTTAGAAAAGTATTGATAATTTTTTGTAATAAATGTTGTGGGTAGCCATTACGTTTTAACGTTTCTTGAATGAGCGAAATTTCAGAGTGTAAACTAACGTACGCAGAACGCAAACTATAAGCTCTGTTTAACATACATGCTACAAGATTTCTTATGTATGTGAACGGGATAAAGCTGTAAAATTGTGTAAGGACTTTTTCTCTATACTGATGTGCCAAATCCGCTAGTGTTACGGTTAATGACGATGTCTAAAAAACGTAAATCATTATTATTTTCAACCTCGCAAGTGAACTTCATGACAGGATGTCGTAAGTTCAGGTATTCTAATAATTTAGATCAGTGATCCTTATTGTGAAAAAGAATAAAAGTGTCGTCTTCATACCTTCTGCAAAGGATGAGTCTGAAGTCAGTGGGCAAGTGTCGAGCCATTTCTGTTTGTGATAGGAAATAAATATATTAGCTAACCTTGGAATGGTGAATTCATTGGTAGTGAGTGGCTGTGTGTGTCTAAGGCTGAAAGAATTGGTCGGAGGGGGTGCCTGCTTTGTGAATTTTTTGAAATACTATATAAGATACCAGGGCGGGAGCCTGCCGGATATAATGAGGCAGCGACATTTTCAGATATGATATTTTTGTTTTTAAGTTATTTGAGGTATCTTTGGTTTTTCCTCACGTTATATGGTAAACGATAAAGAGTCATCTTTAAGGATTATAACATTTGGTAGGATCGTTAAGAATCACCCGCACTTTATCCAAGTAGTAATTTTTAAGAATAACAACAGCACTGCCTTTTTTCGGGCCGTTAAATGTGAATATTTTTATGTAGTGACAGTTTTTTCAAGGCTGAGATTTATTCAGGGCTTAGCTGGTTAGGATGTCTCTTAGTATTAAAATTATAAAAAGTAGAAAGAGCAAAGATTCTTATTTTCGTAATGAAATAATCACTGGATTGGTCAACAGTTCCTTTATGGTACACAAGACCAAATGCTGTATTGTAACGTAAGGTAACTATATTAAAGAAACTGTTTTGTCCGTAGGGCTTTTCATGGGATTTAGCACTTAAAACATGTTAACCATAATATTTGCAATTGTAATCAATGTCTTGACTTTACAATAATCTGAAATATCTTGAAGTATTTGAATGGTATAATCATTTGTTACTAATAAATTATAATCATCACCTGCAGTAGAATAAATCATCTATCTCAAACAAGGTTTTTAAGATTAATTGTTAATTAAAATATAACATAGTGCACATTTAAATGTATTAATCAGAATAAACAAATAATACATAATAACTGTGCTTTCAATTCATCAGTGGCCATCATATTCTGGTGACTATTGTTTAATTTTTTTTATTTTTTAGTTTACTGAAGGAAACTTGGCAGCGAATATCAAATCACAACTTACGCTGGCTGGCAACCGCTACATTAACGCCATGCAGTTTGACCTACCACTTATAAGGTGAGATTTTTAAATTCATACATAAGTCATACAAACATTAGATTAATATAAAACTTAGATAACTATTGTATACTTTGTTTCTGTTGTTTAACTTCAATAGTTACCTATCTGCAGTTAAAACAATAATTAAATTACTGGAACGAAAGTGATTGGTCTGAATTTCCCGCAAAGCTACACGAAGGATATCTGCGTTAGCCATCCCTAATTTAACAGTGAAAGACCAGAGAGAAGTCATCTAGTCATCACCACCCACCGCCAACTCTTGGCCTACTCTTTTAACAACGAATGGTGGGATTAACCGTCACGGTTGAAAGGGCGAGCATGTTTGGTGGGCCAGCCCTCGAAAATGAAAGATGGTATTATCATCCATAGGAAAATATTTTTTTTTACAATTTCATTGTGTTTTAACAAATTATGGAAAATAATAACGAAAACATTTTCCTGAAAATGTTAGAAAATAACTTTTAGAATAATATGTGTTGAATGTTAGAGCTAATGGAAACTAAGTTTAAATTTTCTAAATTTAGAAAGTCAGTGATTTACAGTTTCCAACAAAAAAAAACTGTTTTATTTTAACAATACACAAGTTGATATAAAAGTAAGTGTAAATTAAGAAGTTTAATTCAAAGGTGTTTGTATACACACATACATACCCCTTTATAAATTTAAATAATTATGAGTTATAAGACATACCTATACCTAAGCATTATGGACACACAGGTTAAAGGAGCTCCTAAATTTCGACGAAGAACTTAATTCGATACATCAAAAGCAAAACTCCATTTACCATAGAAAAGTTTGATAACAGTTGTATTATCTTTCTCGACACCACCGTCACCATTTTCAAGGCTCATCAACCTCACACTTTTAGTTAAATCAACACAAATGATGATTTTAAACTATCAATCTCGTCATCCCACCAGTGTGAAACAAGAATTATTATTGGCGAAAATAGTGACAAGGCTAATTTCAGATAAAATGAAAAGCTGAAGAAAAGGGCCGATCACGCATTGTGATGATGCTGAAATTCACAACCATCGACTTCAGATTACAAAATACACTTTTCTTTGAAAGAACAATAGAAATATTCTGTTTAAAGATATCTTAAAGCTCCCTTTTATCTGAGATGTAGTATCTAATCAAATAAGAACAGTTATTCGAAGATCAAGAATCATTGATCAACTTTAAAGAACAGGATTGTATCTTAACACCATCATTGTGTCTTTCCCCTGTCTCATGCTTTCAATCGGGTATGTTTTATTTATCAACTGACTTGCGGTATATGTGCGATCAAATTCACTTACTTCGAGGAAGCCAAGCAACCAACTAAAGGGAAATTATGTTAACACCACAAGAACCTCAGAACTAATGGCTCTAATACTCGATGAAACTCTAATTTCAGACTTACCATAAGATCAGTGGCACAAATACTAAAGCTCTTCTATTTACCTGGGAGATTGTATGCAGAACTAAAAATTATGCTGATAGGAAAAGTGGTGAATAGTTTATGAATAACAAGAAGCAATAAACAATAGATCTGACCAAAAGCTAATTTATTGATAAATTATTTTTCTTTCCTATAATATTAAATTTTCATTATGATGGCATTATTCGTCTTCCTAATTTGAGTAGATCTAAGGCAAAGAAAGATACTGGACACTGTTTTAACAAAGGTAAACAATCTTTATTCAGGAATTTCACATACATAATCAAGGCTGTTAAAGATCAAGTGAATCTTATCTCTAATGGAGTATGTGTATTCTTTTTATCATCTTTTTCTAGAGTGAAAAAAGTAACATTAAATATAGAGAACAATAAATGCCAGAATATTTCTTGGTTCAGATTTCATCCATGTAACTTAGGTACACTTTCACTATCAACAAGGAATATGGTATCCTTAGAGAATTACCTGAATTGTGAATAGAAAAAGATCACTTGTGCTATCCATAGTATGTGCCTTGCTACAGCAGTCATTTCTGATATGGACAATAAGTGAAGCCTTTGGTGATTGACTTAGTTTTGTGAGTAACTCTGGTGAGAGGAATGTAATGGCCCTCTTGACTTACTTTCTGCAGCAAGCACAAAAGTATTTAGAAATTTCAAAAATCCTACTTTAACTATGGGAGTAGGAAACAAATGATAAGCATATTCATAATATTTCTTCTCCCTTTTAACATCAGGTCATCCTGGCAATATCAAATTTCAAAACTTAAAAAAATAAGATAAACAATATTCAGTTTATAAATTGAAGTTACCCATTCTTATTTCTGCAAAACACTTGGCTATGTTACAAAGAAATGAAAAGGCAAACAGAACTATCTAAACCAAAAAGTCATCCATTGAAACAGAAGACAATATACAAGAAACTGAATAAAATTCACTCATACTTATAAAACAGACAAGCTGCTACAATAAAAACCAAACTTTCACATCAAAATACAAAAAGTACAAAATAGAAACTAATTCCTTTTAGCAGTGATTAAGCATAAAACAAATCCTTCATATCACAAAACCACTTATTAAATCAAGCATTGATATAGCAATAACAAAACATTGAATAAAGTGACTGTTTTAAACATAATATAGCATAAACTAAACGGAAAAATGCTCAAAAATAAAATCTTCAAAAAATATTTTATGCAAAGAAGAATTAAATGCAAAAGAAGACATTTCACTAAGAATCAATAGGAACAATAGGAATAAAAACAAATATTTTAACAATAAACAGAGCATAATGAACAAAACGAACCTTGATATTAAGGAAAAATAAATCATAAAAATAATAGCAACAGAGAAAATGAAATACCCTCTATAAAATGATAAACTGCACAAAATATTAATACACATTATTAATCAAAAAACCTCAGATACATACATATGCATACACAAGAATGTGTAAACATATGTTTACTTAAAAATGCAAAGAAACATTAAAAGAAATAAAAACTATACATGATAAATAGTGAAAACACTGATAATAAATAAGCATACAATAAATACATATGTATATATATATAGAAGATAGGAAAATTAAAGCTTTCTATATTTAACAGAAGATCCAAAAACAGATCCTCTAGTGCAGCAGCTTATTTTCGTTGCTCTCTTATAATTTGGCAGAGTAGCTCTCAGACTTTCTCAAGACACTTTTGAGTCTATATCAGATTCGATGACGAGGAACCCACTTTGAGACTAATAATGGTTGGAGACGGCTTGAATGGGTAATGAAGAAAACTTTAATATAAGTTTAACATAACACCAAATGTACAACGTTTCGACAAGGTTTTCTCACAATATGGCTGTTGCACCCCTCCATATTGATGACCAATCCCAATTCAGGCTCATTTAGTTCCCAGTGCAGAAGTGACAGCAGCTATAACTTGCTACATATTCCCTACACTTTTTTACAGCTGTTTAGTAATGATTACCTTACTTATCTTACTGCATGGCAAGGTATAACGTATGAACAGTTCATTTTAAAGTGACCTTGCTGTCAACAATCATTACAAATGCTCTGGTCTCCCTTCCCGAGCAAAGTCTAGGAGGAGGCATCATCAGCAGTGACTGCAAAATAAATATCATAGTAAATCTGTATAGACCTGTCATTCACTAGAAACCTATATGGCTGTGGTGCAGTGCCAAGACGTGTCAGCTGATTTCTACTTGGTGAAGCTAATTTTGTCATCAGGCACTCTCTTGAGTAAGGCACTCTCTCTGAAGTTTGGCCATGTAGCTGCTTCTATGAGATCTTCGTTTGTCATGACCTTGAGTATTAGAGGTGGTATGTATTTAAACCTCACTTCAGTTACTTTGGAGTTAAATTCTCACACATGGTCTCTTGACCCATGCCAGGCTGAGACATCCTAAATGTTAGAATGTGGTGGTGTGGGTTTTAATTTATGTCCTCAGGTTGCAGCAAAGTGAGTTACGTAATGTAACTTATACATTAGCTCTACCCAATTCCAAGCTTATTTGTGACCCATAGCTGCCTTGGCAGCATTCATCTCTTATTTTGGAATCAGTGTTTTTCTTTCATGTTACTTGCTGGTAAAACTACTGTTGTTGGTGGACATCCTATAATTATTACATTATTCATTCTTTGATATTACAGGCTGCTCACACCATGATAGTCGTCAGTCATTTGTGCCTCCTGAGCACTGGGATCATATCTTTGGTGGAAGACCTGACTAATCATTTTGGCTATGTAAAGCCTGCCACTTCCCATTCCCAGATCCATAGCTTTAGCTCATAAATGTTATTGAACAATGCAGCATTGGCAAGAGTCCCATGTTCATGAGAAGTTTGCTTCTAGAATAATAGCATTCCATGACAGCCATCATGCTTTAGTTTCTAAATCGATCCTAGACCATAAGCTTTTTGACTGGAGAAAAATGCCATTATCCCAGATTCGAAGCTTCAACACTTAAAGGATCCAAAGAGCAAAGATAAATACACGCATCAAGATAAGTAGACACTCTGAAAAAATATTATCCTGTTCAAGACAACAATGTGTTCTCATTCTTCGCTACTGTGTGATATTTTATTCTCAGTTTCCATGAATAAGAGGAGGATTAACAATTATGGTATAACAAGGCAAAATCACTTTTCTTCCAACTTTAATTAAATGTGAAGCAATGAAAGACACTGAACACTGGTAAAATGAAACTATCTTTATTCAAGCACATCACAAACATAATGAACACTGTTAAAAGGCAAAGGTATCTTAGCGCCTATACTGGAGTGTGTGCTCTTTTTATTTCTTGTGCTAGACTAAAAGAATATGTCATTATATAGAGATATCAATAAACGTCTGGTGCCAATCATTTAACTCAGGGCCACTTTTACTGTCAATAAGAGATGTGGTATCCTTGGAGCATGACCTCACTGTCACAATAGATCACTGTCGTTGTCATGCTCCAACAGTGCATTACAATTTCAACGACTTTGTTGGAAGAAGCTAATACTACTTTCGTTTGTCATTAGGCTCCTCAACTGCTTAGACATTTCATACCATAAATAATTTGTTCTATCACTTTGTTTCGACTGTTGCTATTTTTATGACATTAAAAGAAAACAGACATATTTCCCGTGTACTACAAAAGATGCAGTTAAAACGTGATCATCAACTGAATCTAACTATATATCGATGTTTGCTACTTTAGATGTGTATATAACGTCAAAAGTAGCTTTAAAAATTCGTATCTGTTATAATATATCTAAACTTGTGATGACTAATTCCTGCTTTTGTGGTGATTTAGAAGGGAGTGAATTGTAAATTATCTGTAATCAACTATGGAAAGTATTACCATGAACAACTTCTACTTTATCGAATACTTCAAATATTCTTTTCTATGGTAATTAAGTGGTTATCAATGATACCTGACAAATACACTTTACTTCGTACTTTCTATAAAAATTATGACAGTATTTGTTATATTTCAGAGATAAAGATGTGTTTTTCCTACGTGTGGCACGAATTCTAGATGGACCTCCGGAGAAAGGAGAGGGGCTATACGTATTGTTTACCATTATTCAACGAGAAACCCAAGGACAAGCTCTATTTACAGCTGATCAGTTGCTAGATATGATTGATATGTATCGGCCATATCTAAATGAAAATTTGAAACTAGAAGTAAGGGTTGAACCTATCTGTATTATGCTATTCTACGAGATATGAGCTTTTGATTCTGCTTCCTTTAAAGTCTTGATATATTGACCTGCTTACAAAATTGACAAAGCACTTCTTATCTCTAAGTTGTATTTCAAGTGAAAATTATTACGTTCTTCATTGGCTAATTGCCTGATAAGTTTACTCTCTAAATAGTTACTAATATTTTCGTTTAAATGCCTCTTATATTTGATGAAATAATGCTATTTTTAATTATAGAAATGGGCTATTATTAGAAACGTCATCCGAAAATATTGATTAAAGATTTATATTTGTACTAAACTTTTATAAAATGTTTTAAAATAACGAGATCCTACTTGACAATGAGTTTTGTTATGACTGAACGTTGTTGATGGTTTTATACTTAAAATATTATTTAATATTTTACAGGAAAAAAATAAGATTTCATTATTATTATTTCCTGTTTGTTTAATTTGGTTTAACTTTTTTTCTAAGGTCACAAACTGTCCTACACCTTTCAATTCGATTCCATGGATCATAGTATCGTTGTGTTGCCTTCCTATTTTCATCATCTTTTTTTTGTTAGTTTGGCGTTGGCGGTATCGAGAATTTTGGAACATGTACGTAACAGTCTCACTATTCAAATGTATCGAACGTTTTCACTTGTAATTTGTTTTCAGGTTGATACTCTAATCAAGAGACTTTACTGTAAAAAAAAATGAAGAATAAAACACTCGTTTAAATTGCACTTGATACATCGCGTGAACAATATTTAAAGTGTTTTAAACATGAATTTGAAGTAACCAATCAAATAATTTTTAACATTTCGTATTAATGTTGTTAATATTTTCGTTAACATTAAATCGAGCTATTAACAGAGTTTATTAAATTCTATATATCAAAATTGATCAAGTGTTATGATGCATTAGCGTTTGTGTGTGTGTGTGTGTGGTTGAGATGAAAGCTATTTTTTTTGTTTCTTATACTAATTAATGCTTAATTATTAAGTGGTTATTTTAATTTTATGCTAAGATACTTGGATATTCCAATCATAAATTAGTCATTTGTAAATATACAGAGGAATATTTCAGTATTATTAGTGTGTTGATGAATTTGATTAGCATCACATAAAGTTATTATTTTAAGCATAATATGAAAGTTTTTCTAAACTGTTTGCTTCAAGTAAGAAATGGTAAACTCTGAAGACATTAAGTCTGTTCGTCAATATCTATTATTAAAAACATTTTTTTTTCTACCATTGCTAATGAAAATAGCTTTTGATTCCCATTTGAGCGTTATATTTTAATCAAGCTCAGGGAAAAATAAATAAGTCTATTGTGAGTGTCTTTCAGCCGAGCCAAGAAAGCTACTGAAGAGAGGAAAGAGGCGGAACTTCAAGTGAGTGTATGGCCTCCTACCACAGACAACCCAGTGTTCGAGCCTGAAATTCTAGAATCTCCCGGAGTCCAAGAGAATGAGTACGTAGAGCAAAAGCAGTTACCTCTACCTGCAACCCAATCTTCTGTAAAATCTTTCCAAGATGAGCCTCTCAAAAAGAGCAGTCGATCAATGTCAGAAAGTGCACATAGGAAGCCAAATTTGATTCGCTCATTCACTACGCAGAACGTTTACACTGACAGTGGTCTATTTCGATCACAATCCTCCATTCCTTCAAGCCACAGACCAGTGGAAAAGATTTTAGGCCGTTCACTTTCTGAACAGTCTCTAAAAAATGTTCCCGTAATGCAAAATCAAGAGATGGAACATTCGTCTGCAAGAATTAAATCCTTCGATTTACAATCTACCCCTTCAACTTCCTACAGACCTGCTCAGCAGGATTTCCAATATCCTTCAACATCTCAACATTCACATAAGGCTACTCAAAAAGAATTTCAATATCCTCTTAAGGCAAACAGTGATAAATCTAAAATGGAAAATGAAAGGTCTGACTCCATTCGTTGGCCAAAGAAAAGTGTTTCGTGTAAGTTTATAGGTTGAATTCGTACTTTGTAGTAAATTTTTGTTTAATTACTGCAACGGATGACTAAAATATTTTTTCTGATGCTTATGACTGGATTGTGTTTATGGATGTTACGATTCACAAGATGAAAGGCATCTATTATACTACACAACAAAAACTACTTATTACACGAACATACAGGACTGTAGTTCAACCGAAATAGCTTGTTCAAAACTTAGCTTGTGCCTGAACGTGTGTTCGCATTGCTTTTTTTGAATAGTACTGGACGGAATTGGCTCAAACCCTTATGTAGTCTGTGGAAAGTCTAAGTTACAATTACAGAATGTCGTTTCTTAAACTGAAGTAAAGCCAGTTTACATTCACAGTACACCGTTCTTTAATTTGAGAAGTGCTAATGCAATACGCCTTTTTTTTAATTTTAGACGTGACCAGTTTATTTCTCTATTACACCTTTATTTAGTAAGGTCAGTTTGCTAAAGCAGTATACTCTCCTTTAGTCTAAAGAAAGCTAGTTTGCTACTGTAACAAATTCTCTTTTGTTGTCTAAGACAAGGACACTATGCTACCACACACTTGCTTCTGTAGTTTGAAATGAAATCAGGTTATGAAAATAATCCCCATTAAACAATGGATACTTTAAGTTATACTCCATATAGGAAGAAGCTTAAATAAACTTTACATTATTTACTGGAATAAATAATCGAGTAAAATATGCCCAATTTTTAATTAATATTTTCGCCTATGATCAAGTGTTACTGAATAACGGCCATTTCTTTATTAACCTACCAACAATATATCGGCTCTTACGATACTAATCGTGTAATGTGTAATATATAATAGTATGAAGCTACATTTTCCAAACAGAAATCTCACTGTGAAAATATAACTGTATTTTTTTCACATTTTCAGTGTTTATCCTTAGGATATGAAAGTATAGCGGAACGTAACAAATATTGTTAAATCATGTACGATATTTATATTTAGTCAGGTCACGTGAGCTTCCACTAAATCCTCTTCAGGAAGAAATGGAAGAGACCAAGAACGAAAAAGAAGAAAGTCATGTGCGATTCTCTCCGGTAACGGAAGTTACTGAGCCGGCCTGTACACCTGGGTTGGGTTTGCTTCCTCGAGTTAACAGCGCAGAACGTTTGCTAGAGGACTCGTGAGTGATTTATGATTTCATAATACGTTTTCAAGGTTTTATTTTTATTGTTTTTTACAAATTTTCATTATTGATCTTTGGGATAACATTCTTTAACAACGGATAATCTGATAAATGTTCTTCCGAATAATGCTTTCAAATCAAATCCTTCACCTATCAGTATAATTATTGTTCAGGCTAATACTTCCATAGCAAATATTGTATAAACATATAATTTAATAATTACTTTCATGAAAGTCCTTTAAAATTAAATCCTTGATTACAAATAATATGATGGCTACTTTTTAAGACAATTCAAATTAATCAAATACTTAAACTATAGGTAACTTGATTAATATTCTTTTCGTTTTACACAACTTCCAGTATATATCTATATACTACTAAAACTCTGAGATTGTTTGTTTGTTTGTATGTAATTACATACAGCAAAAATGGCGCAAAATAGTGCCATATTTGTAATGAAATGAGAATAGAAACAGAATAAAACAAGTTTAGTTACAATCAGGCCACGGGTTACCGAGTTAGCCCCGATTTTGGGGTCACTAATTAAATAAGCAAAAACGGCGCACAATAGCGCCATATTTGTAATGAAATGAGAATAGAAACAAACATTTCTAGATTAATTTAGGTACACTAGATGGCGCTACATATCGGTTTATCTATCTATCTATTCGTTTTCCACCTGATGAATCACTTTAAAATCTCTTCTATACAACAATATACGCACAACAGAAATTAAATGATGAGATGAAAATGTGTTATAACTGCGCGTAGAAAGAACAACAATAAAACTTGACCGACAATATTATTGTCTATTTGCAAATAGTAACTATGGAGACGAGGTAATAAAATAAAAATCAAGTCGAGAACAACAACAACAACATTTCGTTTATCGCTGAGCAATGGTTATTATATTATTTCCCTGTCAATGTTCCCATCTTCATTAAAAAGTGCCCTCCAGTGGCACAGCGGTATGTCTGCGGACTTACAACGCTAGAAATCGAGTTTCGATACCCGTGGTGAGCAGAGCACAGCTAGCCCTTGTGAAGCTTTGTGCATAATTAAAAACAAACAAACAAATCATTAAAAAGCGTAAGACTACAAAATAAGATCTTGAAGAATCTTATCTATATACTACTAAAACTCTAATATTGTTTGTTTGCTTATTTTCTCAGTCAAAAAATCATTCACACTACCGTTCGCGCTCTTTACGAAATTTCTTACTTCACTTTTTTGGAAAAATGAAATGGTCTTACCTTTTACTCCCGATAAACAATCAAATATCTTTTCTTGAATTATGAATAACACGAATGGATTGAAATATTTAATTAAATTATCTCAAAATAAACCTTCATTTCGGTGCAATATTGAAATAAGCTTGAATTCTTCATAACCTCTGAATAGTGGTTGACTCAACGAGTCACGGTGGGTCACTTTTATGAAAATTTCTAACATGAGTAATTTTACATCACACTACTGTTCGCATTCTTTACGAAACTTCTTAGTTCAAATCTATTTCCCTGTCAATGTTCTCATCTTCATTAAAAGACGTTAT